GTTGTTTAGTGTCAATTTCATAAAGCACTAACAAAAATGTTAAGGAGAGAAGTGTGACTTTATGTTACCATTGAGATGTGGGAGCCAAATTAATAATATTATTAAAATGATAATCGAAAGGGGTTCTGCAATTAGAATGATCCGTGAAGACACAGAGGTGAACAAGTTGTAGATTTCTAGCAAAACTGTGGAGTCTTCTCTTTCATCAATTATGTGGCAATAATTTTTTTAATAGAAAAGTTGTTGATTATGAGCTTCCAACTCCTGATCATCATCTTCCTTGTTGCCGAATGGTCTCTACTGCTTTCGGCTGCATCAATTAGGCTCCATTTTTCACCCCACCAGCTTGTTGTAAACATAAAGCACTGAAAATTGTCCCTTATTCCTATCATCCCAGATTAGCTTGTCCTCAGCAATAGGATCAGACCTTCTTAATTTAAGAATTTCTTCACTTTCATGCTTGGAGAAACATCTCTCCACTACGCCTATATTCCAATGTCTATCTGATGAGTCTAGGAGGTCTTTGACCCAAGTGATCTCAGTTCTGGAAGTGTTGTTGTGAGCTGGTTTGACTCCTGCCAAATTAGGAACTCATGGTTGTTCCCAAATGTTTATTTTGCCTCCATTTTTTAAGTTGTACCTGAAACCTTGTTGAAAGGCGTCTCAGACAGTGATCCAAGAGTTCAACATCCCAGGGTTGCTGTTTTTTTTTTTTCCTTGCAGTGAAGAAGTTGGCTTTTTTGAAATATCTGGCTTTTATTAGAAATAGTGTATAAGAATTACAGCTGAATGTTTTGTACATGATCTGTGGGGAGATCAAATGTTGTAATATGAAAAATCAAGTAGTAGTGATCGTGTTGATCTTGGAGGAGTTAGCCAAGGTTAGCTTATGTGTGTTTAGGCTTGGCTTGAGGGCCAGTATTTATACACAAAAAAAGGTGTCGGAACATTAAATGAGGAGTGCTAGCTAGCTACGAACGTAAAGTGCCGCTGAGTGTTTCCATGCAAAAGTGGACGGGACATGTCGAGCGTTGCTACAACTTTACCACAACGTATTTAGATGGTTAGAGCGATTGTATATCTTATTTGAGAAGCTTCCGCGAGTTATCTCCATACCGATCAGGTGATCAACAACCCTAACGATGATCGCTTGGCCCTATTGTAGGATGGTCTCCATGTTTTAGGGCCCTGTTCATCGACGTGGGATTGAATTAATATGTAGGTCACGTCATTCGTTGTGATCGGATATTTTAGGTACAAAATATAGGCCCCAGGTTTCTAGGTGGGCAGAGATCGCTTAAGCTGCCTATAAAGTTAAGTACAAAATTTTGCGTCGATCTAAAAATGTATTGCCGATCACATGACGGTTACATAAGATGGTCGCAATGTTCTTGTGTATACTGAAAGCTTGGCTTTTTGTTAACACTATTCGACTTTCAATGAAAATCATATTTAATTAAACAGACTACATTCTGATGTCTTACATTTGGATATTGTATTCCATCACGGATGAGACAGAAGATCACGTATTGACTACTTGTAAAACATAAATAATTTACTTCATGACCTAGATGGAGTTGAACAACCGATCATGAATTGTAGTGTCAATTGTACAGTCTATCTTGACTAATTGGTTGCACTAGTACACAATGTGTATTAAACGGATCCTAGAGAGATAAGTTTGTTTTGAACTTATCCGTAAACAAACTAGACTTCGGTTAATTACTGCGTACCCTTAACGCGTAAGATATAAATAGACATGTGCATTCAGTGTCTACTACTTTGATTCACCAAAATGCAAGATTTATTCAGTTGGGTCAATAGTCTGATGTGTTTTTGGTAGTAGTGCTCTATGTATGGTGTGATGTTTGAATAATTACGGTCAATGTGTGCGATAGTCTGATGGTGTCACCGTGTTCGAATATTTCCAATGTGATGTATGTCATCAACAGTACAAAAAACACTGCTCATCCAGACTCTGAGTAAACCCATAAGATTGGACTACCTTATCGAGTTGGATAATTCATGACCTTGAAGCTTGCTTATGTTCATAAATGGACTTTTTTTTTTACAAACCAGGTTCTCGCGACCTTTAGCAATAAAACCCTCGGGTTGCCTCATATAGATGTTTTTCTCAAAACTTCCGTTAAGGAAAGCAGTCTTGACATCCATCGGCCCAATCTCATAATCTATTTGAGCGGCAAAGGCCAGAAGAATTCAGATAGACTTATGCATAGCTATTGGCGAAAAGGTCTCCTCATAATCAATTCTCTCTTTCCGAATGTACCCTTTCGCTACAAGCCTTGCCTTAAAGGTTTTCACCTTACCGTCTGATCCTATCCGCTTGTAGAACCATTTTCTTCTAATAGCTTTTACGCCACTTGGTGGATCCATAAGTTCCCAGACTTTGTTCGAGTCCATTGACTCGATATTAGATTTCATCGCTAGTTTCTAAGAATCTGCATCCTTGTCTTGGAGTGTCTCATCGTAGGTCCATGGTTCCGGTTCTTGTTCACATGGGATCAGGTCCAAAGCTCCTCCCAAGAACACGAACCTTTTGGACTTACAAAAAACCCTCCCACTACAACGAGGTACTACTGACAAAGGTGTATCTTATGTGACACGAGGTGCAGTTGTTTTTGGTGTATCATTTTGCACACGTGGTATATAAATTTCCCTATGACCTACTTCCTCTAGGATTTCTCTAATTGTAGGATTGTGGCTCATGACATAGTCTTCCTCCAAAAATCGGGCATGCGTGCTAACAATGACCTTATGATCTTTGGGACTTTAAAACAAGCCACCTCTCGTTCACTCAGAGTATCCTACAAAAATCCGTACATCGGTACGAGGTTCCAACTTGTCAATATCTGCGAGCTCCCGAGCAGGGAGGAGGTTAGAAAGGTTGTTTTTTGGGGTTGATCCCAATAGCGTTTCTGGCCTGGATGGTTTTTCGTCTCTCTTCTATCAGGCATGTTGGAGCTAGTTGAGCCTAATGTTGAGGAGGTTGTGCTGGATTTCTTCCCTGGCTACTAGACATCGAGTCTTTAACAGCTACTTCGGTCATTTTGATCTCTAAAAATTCCTGCCTGAGCTCTTGGTCGGATTACAAACCTATTAGCCTCTGTAATGTGACCAACAAGCTCATCTCCAAGATTCTTAATGGGCGTCTTGCCCCCATCCTTCCCCCGCTCATCTGTCCAAACCAGAGTGGGTGGAACGGGTCATTAGTGATAGCATCCTTCTGGCCCAGGATACGATTCACAACATCTCCCATGCGGATCGGTCGCGAGCCCCGAACCTTGCGATGAAGCTAGACATGATGAAGGCGTACGATAGGGTTGAGTGGCATTTTCTTAGGGAGACTTTTGTCCGGATGGATTTCTCTGAGCGGTGGACCAGTTTTGTGGAGGCGTGCACAGAGCATTGCACGTTCTCAGTCTTGATTAATGGTAGCCCTATCAATTTTTTCCCTTCCTCTTAGAGCCTCCATCAGGGGGACCCCCTTTCCCTTCTCTTTTTGTTCTAGCGGCGGATTACCTCTCTCGCTGCCTTGATGCCTTCATCCGTGAAAACCCGAGGATGACTCAGAGCACTCATGGCTACAGGCTTTCCATCTCGTCCGTCATCGCCGCAGCCACTAGCTCAACCTGAAAAAATATAAATAATAGGGTGAGCAATCACAAGTTCACCATGGGAATTACCATGCAATATTTCAATATAATAACTGAAAACATAATCGCAACACGAACACAAATCACTACGTCTACCTTCTATACTTCAACTACGCTCAAGTGTACACACATTTACCATCGGCATTACCCATCGACGACAGCAAAACCACCGGCATTAATAACCATCAGCGAGAAACCCTCACATAGATTAGCGGTTCACATGCATACATTGATTATATAACCACGCGATTATAGAGAATAAAAGCACAGTAAAGTTTATCAACACCCACTTGGTCGATGAGACAGAAAATCACAAAACAGCTCGGTAGGTTTTGAGGCTCGACTCCTCAGAGACCTACATTTAATCAAGATCATTTTTTTCATAAATAATTATCTCGATAACTCGAAAACTTGACGAAAGTTCTCGTGTAGTCACAAATTAGTGATTAAGGAGTTTATAAAATTTTTGTAGAATTTACTCTCGAATTTATGGGAACAACTCGGAAAATATTTTAAATAGGCTAAAATTTGAGTTTGGCTCGAAAAATGAGATTTCGATTCAGAAAAAAACTAAACGGCTCGGGAAAAAGGGTTTCTGGCTCGAGGGGACTGATGCAGCGCGGGTAGACCTCGCTGGCACGGCTGTTGGTGGCTCTTCGGGCGCTGCTGGGCTCATGCTGGTCACGGGATGGCTGTTGGGGGCTCATCTAGGCGCGCTGGGACTGCTGCTGGCGCTGGGGAGCGCTCGCGGGTCAGCAGAGTACGGCTGTTGGGCGCAAGGGTGTAGGGCTGTGTGCTACTAGGACTCAGACGACTGCGGGTGATGAAGTTGACACGCCTGAGGTCACTTGCAAGGCGTCTAAGTCGTTCGGCTACTGGGACGCACTCCGCTGTGGCACGGCTCACGGGCGATGAGGTGCAGGCATTGCAGGTATCTGTGGCATGCTGCGGGCGATGCTGCGCGACCGCAGGCCATTCTGCGCGTCTACTGTGTTTGTCCCATTTTTGTGTCTTTATATCATGTTTATTTTCTTTTTGTTTTTCCCTACTTGTATGATATTCGTAGCTTATTTGGTCCATTTCGTTCGTTTTGTATTTTTCTGTTTAGTTTTTATTTTTGTCTTTTTTCCGTGTTTTACTTCATGTTTTTCTGTGTTTGTGTTTTCAGGAGGTAGGTTGCACCAGTCGAGGTTGGGACTGCTTGAGCCGAGGCCGTGATATCGAGAATTCCCGTTGCCGAGCCTAGAAGACGACGAGAGGACTGAAGGAAGGACTGAAAACGCTGCCAGTTTTTTTCGCGACTCGTGAATATGTCGCGACCCGCGAGATTTTCAGTGGCTAAAGGTGCAGTCCGCGTGTTCGGGTCGCGACTGACGAGATGAAGACGCGATTAGCGAGACCAATTCGCGACTCGCGAGAGACGTCGCAACCAGCCCCAGAAGTTGTAGAAATTGACGATGCGCGACTCGCGACTCGAGGGAAAAGTGAAGTCGCGACTCGCGACTTATCGACGCGAAAATCGAGATGTGGGTTTTAATATCAGATTTTGGACCTAGGGCATATGATTCGACTCCAGACTTTGTTTTTACACTTTTTCTCTCTAACACACTTCGTTCATTACTTTTGTACTTTTGATTTGATTTGGAGATTGAAAAACTCCTTCTCTTGCTTTGGATTTGGATTGCTTTGAATTTGATGTTGAAATTTTTACATTAATCGTAAGTTCTTTTTCTCGATTGTTTATTGATGATGATGGCTTGGGTTGATATAAATTGTGTTGTTGAATTCGTTATGAGTAGCTTAATCCATTTGCTAGGGATATGTGATGATTGATTAGGTTCGTTTATGATTGCATGCTTTTGATTGTTCATATCTATGCGAGTTGTGTGAATTATTGAGTTAGTTGATTAATCACCATTCTGGTTGCAAGGGATATACAATTTGAGTTGCTCGCAAGGCTTCCAGCTTCGCAACCTTCCTTCTCAAGGCCTCCACTTCCGAGGTGTCACGTCGGGCGTGTCGGTTTCGTTCGATTTGTTGTCGCAAGTCGGTCGGGTTTTCTGGTTGTTGAAAC